GAATCAACTTCAAGCTTCGAAATCTTGATAGGGTACCGAGATGTTTCTTCTGATCACCAACAACTCCTTCAGATGGGAATAGCTCTCTGAATTTGCAGCAACCGACATCTAGCTTCTCCAAACTGGTGAATTTTTGGATGAAACCAATCGGGAAAATATCTGATTCTTGATGATAGCAGTGCACTTTCAGAACTTTTATATTGCTAAATAGGTTAGCTGGAAAGACTTCATGACTTAACATTGATATGTCACTGCTGTCTAATGTAAGTTCCTCCAAGTTGTCATTGTCAAAAACCTGAAGAATGACAATGAAAAGAAAACAAGTCAATATGCTAAATTAGGCTAAGATTACTACGAATAATCTATGGCTTCTATCAGTTTCTGCAAAGATTTCTGTCTAAGAAGTATAGATATATTAATGCATGTTACCTTTTCTACCAGGAAGAGTGGCTGCCAAACCGTCGTTTCCTCAATGCTGAGAAGGTCTGAACTGAATATCTTCAAATCACCGAAATGATAGGAAACAAATTTTTAACATCGGCCATTTTATAGAATGTAATCCAGGGTAGAAACTTTTGAGTTTTTTAAGGTTCCAAAGTCGCAGAAAGGACAATTTAGGAAACACAAATCTAGTTTTTGGTTGAGTTTCATCCCTAGCAACAAGCTCTTCCACCCCACAAGTGTCTATTTCAAGCCTTTCGAGTTGCTGAAGGCCTCTTGCAACTGAGGCTGGAAAGAGATTTTTCAGACTCTGACATCCAAAAGCATATACAAAAATCAGATTCTTGAAAGTGATAGTTCCTTGGGGATTCTCACTCCACACTCGTTTCAACTTTCCTAAATTGTAAATATACAATTTCTTTAATGGAACTGCTGCCTCCTTTCCTTCAACATTAAGACCTTGGATTTCAAATACTTCTTCCAATGTATCAGAATCACTTAATATGAGGGCCTCCAAACTTTGAAATCTTCCTACAATATTACATGGAAAAATAGTGTGTAGTTGTTCACAGCAAGTACACAATTCAATGGCCCATCCCCAAACAAATGGCCAAGTGGAATCCATAAATAAAAAAAAAATTCTAACTGCCTTCAAGAATAAGTTGGATTAAGCAAAAAAGGCATGGGTAGAGGAAACTTCAGGTATACTTTGGTCGATTAGGACCACAGACCATTCAACCATGGGAGAAAAGCCCTTCACATTGACATATTGGATAGAAGCAATTATACCTGCTAAAATAGGTGTAATACACTTAGGATAGTGCATTTTGACCGTAGCCAGAATGAAAAGGCTTTAAGGGCTAACTTAGATTTGTTACGAGAAACTAAGGACTTAGATAAAGTTAAAATGGCAACAAGAGCTCAATAAATCACCAAATATTATAACTCTAGAGTTAAGAACAAGCATTTCTAGGTTGGCAACCTAATATTCAAAAATTACGAAACTAGTAAACCAATGAGTTAGAGGAAAAAATTACCACCAACTAGGAAGGACCATACAGAGTCTCAGCCATCAGGTTTGGAACATACAGGCTGAAAGACATGGAGGGCAACCCAATTTCAAGAACTTAAAATACTGCTTAAAAAAATGCTATGTATAGCTTGGTATTTTACTTTTGATTAATATTTCTGAAGTTCTATACTTACTTTTCAATATATGTATATTTTAAAGCTTTCTATCGGATTTAACTACCTTTTCTTGTAATTAAACTTGTACAAGAAATGTTTTAATGAAGATGGATGGTGTTTTATCTCCTTTCTTAAAACTCTATTTTACAATAAGCCTTGTACATCATCTTTTATTGTGTATAGATATATGGGTTAGTATAGATCCCACTTCTTACTAACATGCTCAACATTCCTCCACACCATCTTTTATCACATCAAGGCATATAGACTAATATAGATCCCATTTCTTATTGACGCATTCATCGCACCTCATGCGTTATCTTTTATGACGTTAAAGCATATAGGTTAACATAAATCCCACTTTCTGTCAACACACTCAATGTGCCCTTGGCACCTCTATCTCTTGTGTTAAGGCTTTCCATTATTATTTTATCTCGTCAGGATCGATATCACACTAATCTGACTAAAATAAGGTTGATACACTAAAATTTACATAATAACTCAACTGCCTTACAATAAGGTACATTTGCCTATTATTTTTAACAAGTTATTTTATCTCTATTATTGCACCTAAATATTTTAACATCTCTGAAGCGACGCTCATTTATATTGATTTATTCTTCCTACAATATTTAAAGTTAGCCAATAAGCTACACCATTAAGTCTAAAGTCCCATCTTCTTGATGAAGAAAAATTTAGTTCACAGTATTAATTTACATTACTTTGTTATATTCTATGGAATAACTTGACTCATCATATGTGAATTACAAAATACTAATCATACACTATGGTTTAACTTGCATGAATTCTAGAAGTATAACCCTACTACTTAATGTTTACTTTACTAACTTATTCTCTGCCAAAAACTAGTACCTACAATACCAGTATATTTAACAAGGTTTGAACTTAGCTAGATTATTATGCTAAGTTATGGCTAAACAATTCGTTTGAACAACTCGGTGTCCTGATACCTTGATCTTAATCATTTTTACAAGCAAACAGATAGCCAAGTCCTGTTAACAGTGGTCTTTCAATTATATTATTAGTTAGTATTACAATGACCAAAAACAATACAATCAGATGGGATAAAAAACTAATAAGAAATTCATCTCATTTATACCTAAAAAATACGTACATATTATTACAAAAGGCAAGATTACAACTCAAGAATGAAAGCCTTATAGGATAGCAGGGATATTTGCCTCACCAATTCTTCCTTACAGGATTTCCATAAGTAAAATATCATGGATACGTTTCATTGAAATACATAACGCAAATTCCTGAAACCTCAACAAGCCCAAAAATTCATGTTTAGCACAATTTGGTTGACTTTAGCAATGGAAGTGACCAAGATCAAGTGAAATAATGGATTGTTATCCTGTGGCCAACCACTTTCCTAGTCCCCTTCAGTTTTTTCTCTTTATTTGGGTTACCAGTGTTAGTGCCTAGAATTTTAAACTCATTCTCCTCATCAAAACTCTTAACAATAACACTTCTTTTAGGGTTTTTTTCTCTCTCACACAATCTCACGCCAAGGTAAGATAAAAATACAAAAACAAAAATTCTATTTTAGAGGTAGCAAGCAAGAGTGCAAATTTAGGAATCTTCCGTCTCCTATTTATACTCAAACCAAAGGAAGGATATGAAACGGCACACTTTTGTATTGTTTCCATTGGCTCATAAATGGAATAAAACATTAATTCCTCTTAATTACTCCTCAACCACCACCTTAAAAGCTTTCTCAACCATCTATTTGAAAATAAGCAAAAATTAAATCCTTCCTAAAAGTGGTGCATTTTGAAAAAAAAATGTACCCATTAAATATATTTGATAGCTTCCCACAGAAAGCGTGATACATAACCTATCTAGCTGCTTCTCTCAAAGGCACGGGCATATGCATCACACTGCCCCACTATATGCATTTTAACCTTGTGCACCCCATAGATAAGTATAAAATTTTTACAAGAAAATTTTTTTAAGTCCTCACCAAATAATCCCTATGACTTTACCAACTTTCTAGCTCACCCAAAGATAGCCACTACTTGTTAGCATAACTACTCACCAAAGATGCTCAACATACCTTCAACAGAACACATCATCACACCAAGCTCTTTAAGTTAAAAATACCCCTCACCAAAGCATTGGTACCTTTCCCTTTTTTTTTTTCTCTTTTTTCAAGGTTTAGACAACTGTTTAAAGGTGATCACATTATAATCCCTTCAGACTTGAAAAGCAATTGTTACTAAGTCAACTGGTCAATGATTAAAGCTTGATCAACATAGTTAGGCCTTCGAGTCACCTAAACAAAGCACATCTAAATAGCCACATCACTTGCCCTTCACCAAAGGAAAGTTCGCCTAAGGTCCCACCAATAACTTGTCAAAACAATCATATCAACTAACTCATCAACACCCAATTTGCATGAGATCATTAAATGCAACCCATGCTTGCCTGAGATCATTAAATGCAATTTTCATCCACTCACATAAAACCTTCTCAAGCTCTATACAAATATCCTATCAATTGTCAACGATCTTAATCGAATCATTACACTTGATCACATGGAAAAGATAGGTGGAAAACCATATACTCAAGGTAACACAAAACTAGACTTAAGACTTCCTAAATTTTCTCTCTTTTGAAGTTTCTCACACACATTTCACCATCTTTATCCTCTTCCTTACTTCTTAACCTCACCTCAAGTACCATACTGACTTCAATATTGGAGCGTGACCCAGAGTAACAATTCTAGCGCTCCCTGACCATGTTTTTTGGTTGCAGGTCACCACTAATTTTCCTTCTACCTCACTTCCTTCTTTCCAGTTAAGACATCTAAAAACACTATCAACAATGTTAAAATATCTTTGTTCAGAATTCCTCATTTCTGGTTTTTTGGATTTCCATCACTAGAGAAGTATCATTCTGAGTTAGTGGTTTTCCTGGCTATAACCATCTGGACCAGGAAGAAAATCGTGGTTAGGTTTATCACTCTCAGACTTTGATTATTTTGCTTCTCACAATGGTGCTCTTTTAACTTTTTGAAGTAATTGATGATATCATTTATGTTATTGAATTTCTTATCATATAGAATGTGCTTGAGCTTACCAATTTGATTTTGGTTGCTGAAACTGCTTTCAGGTTGGGCTGTGTAATTAATAATAATAATTCAGAAGAATGTGCCAAAATATAGCTGCTGTCGATGCAAAAGTCACATTTTTGTTGCTCTGTCATTTGTGAAGTTTCTGTAGTATTATGTTTCGTTTAGGCATTGTACAGTATTTACATCAATTGGCTCTCAAATTATGAAATATAAGACTTAATTTATATATTCTAAGATTTAATTTATTGTTGTTGTATAATATTTTAATGGTGGGAATTTTAAAAGAATGTTTCTCGGTTGTCTTATTCTCGGTCTTGCAAAAGAATGGAGGAGGTCGTGGAAGACGATTTTATCAATTGAAAATAAAGACAGTAAGCCTTATTTTCTTATCATAATAATGCTTTTGAAAGACATGTTTCTAATAAACAGATGTCTCACTAATATCTCAGAAATAAAAAGATGATCACAATAGCAAGCAGCAATACTCCAGGCTGTTAAATATAAAGCCAAAAAGCCGCATTTGAAAACTAAGCACAAGCACCACTTGAGACACCATACAAGAAAAATAGGATGGGGCATCAGGCAAGCAAATACAAATCCACAATTTCAGTAAATTTGAAGTATCAAATCTCGAAATCTCTTGTTATAAATCCACCCTCAAAATAGAGCACAAAAAGTCAGTATCTTCTCCTAGGACTCCTGGAGCGATGTGTCCGTCCTGATCTGCAAAATTTATAAGGTAAAGGGTATTGTTAGGTCCAAGTACTGCACTTATTTTGCACCTACACAAGGAGAGAACAGATAAAACTGACAGGTTCCATCCAGCTAAAAGTTTAAACTTTCAAACAACAGAGCTAAGTTTCAAGATTTGGGCAAGGTTGGCACTTGGCATGCAAGTTAAGCAGGGTTATGCTGAGGTCGTTTCAAGTTTCAGGTCATCTTAGGCTCAAGTTATTCAAATTTGGAGTGCTTCAGTCAAGTCTTAAAATGTTTTAAATTTAACTTAAGTTCAGTCGGGTTGAATGAATGGATCATCTTTTCACTACTTATAATAGATGTATTTAACAGATAAATCAAAATTCAAAAGCATATTAATAGAGACAAACCTCATATTTTTTCTTTTGAAGGCTCCAGTACTAGGTCCATTGCTAAAGGCCCAATCAACATTCATAGTCTGAGTAAGAAGTTCTGCACCATCCATTGCAGAGATAGCATTCTTTGCTTCTTCAAACTTTTCATACTCAATCAGTGCATATCCCTAAGTGGCAAAAATCACATTAATTTTACTCGAACAAAAATGTATAATACTAAAAAAATACTGTAAATGATGAAAAAAGTCTGCCAAAAAGACTTGTCCTTCATTTTGTCATGTTCAATAAATACAATGAAACAAAAGATTGAAATGAGTCAAACTAGCATTAAGTAACAACATAAAATGGTTAGAAACACTAAACCGCTTGATATCTAAGGATATAAACGAATCCACATTCTCTAAGACATGTAGAAAACACACAAAAAATGTTTAACAAGCAGCAATAGGTAGCCAAAACATTTCAAACACACATGAATACATAAAAATTATGCAATGTGAAGAGTTTCACCACAAAAATAAAAACTTAACAGCACACCATTGCACAAAGCAATAGTCATAAAGATACCTACACCAATTTACTATGTTGCCTACCTTGACAAAACCAGTGCGACGATCAAGATTTAAATGCAAATTCTTTATCTCACCAAATTCACCAAATGCGTTGTGCAAGTCATCCTCTTGTGCTTCCTCATGTACACCAATGACCAAAATAATCCATCCTTCAATAGCTGCACATTCATTAATGAGAAATACAAGAAAATATTACTATTGAGAAAAAGTGTTTACAAACATAAAGGAAAATCTTATTTCATCATTGCACACAATTGCTTTTATGTACTGTGCTCTATGACTTGAGTTATATCAACATTATGTAGGAAAACAAGGGGTGTCCACGAAAAGGTCGCAAACCTTTAAAATAGCTGGATAGATTGAAGGTTAGGTTCTAAGGGTGTGTTTGGTGCATAAGACCATGATAAGATAGGATAAGATGATATTATGAATAGGATTAGATTAAAAAATATCATCTTATCTTGTGCTTGATGTGTATAAGCATTAGGATAGGATAATTTTATTTATTGGTCAAAATTATCCTTCCCCAAAATTTATATAATTTAAATTATTAATATAATCTTTAAGGGTATAATAGGACATATAAGTTCAATCTCATAGATTAAAAACAATCCTCTCCACTTTGAGAGGATTAAATCATCTTACGCCAAGAAGATGACTAATCCTCCTTGCAATCCTATCCCTTCTTTAGACACAAACCAAACATGATAAAAGATGATTATTGTTATATCCTATCCATCATCCTATACACCAAACATGGCCTACCAATATAATATAAAACGTTTAATGCACTCAATTGTGTGGTTGAAACATGGACAAACAGGTAATAGCAGTCCTTAAAGAAGCGCATTCGGCTTTAAACCTCATCAACAATGAAAATTGGAATCTTTTTCCTTTTCTTTGGTTGGGTTATATAAGAGAATTTCATTTATCCCCCACATCATGACCCAACCAAATTCTGAAAACAAGAAAACAGGAACAATCCCTATCGCATACTTTTCATAATGGAACAAAGTGAACCTCAACAAACAGCCAAGAATGTATGTCCACTTAATATCAACAGAAATTCCTCTGAAATTAAGAGGAAATTTCTATAAGATGTTAAATATTTTTTATTGAATTTTGTGTCTTGTGTATACACAGGTTTAAAAAACTAGTTTCTATAAGAGCAGAAAAAGGCAACTATTGTCAGGAATTTCCACTAATTCCTAATACTTTCCTCTTGTACTTTGGAATACTATTTAGCAAACTTCTCATTTCATTTCCTAAGCATTATCTCTTTCTTTCTCAACTTGAAAACTGAATTACCAATTTTAAGTCCTACCTAGAAGAGAATACATAGTCCTCAATAAATGACTTAATTTTCTGCCTCAAACTTATTACAAGTTGACTATGTCCAAACCCAAAACCTCAAAATTGCCTCTCTTCCATCCCACTTTAAAAATATTAACTATCCCCAACTGACAGACAAGTGCAAAAAGATAGGCTTTAGACCAAAATGATATTACATCGTACCATTTCTGGGATGCTTATACAATGTGAACCAGAAAAGTCATGAAGCATCTGCCATTAGACTTGTTCTAGTCTCATAGATGACCTGAACATGTTACATCTCCTCACTCAAAATCTCTAATGAGAAAGGTAATAAAGCAGTTCTAAATCAAGGGTTTCTACAAAGTACAATAGTTAGAAAATATCCATAATAATGAGTGACGAAGTTAAGGAAGTTGCTTCTAGGAATCCAACAATTAAAAGGTTACAAAGTTCCAACAGTCCAAAAAACAACTCATTTTGAAATCTAATTCTTGAATAACCTGTTATAGCCTGAAACGAAGAGCAAGATATTTTATCTTGAGAAATTTCTTATCACTAAGATTAGTGTTTTGAACTATTTACTTATGTTTGCCAATATAAAAAATTATTTATTTATGAATAAGTTTTACTTGCAACTGTTAGCAAATAAAGAACTTAAGAAAAATTAACACTACATTCTGAGAGTAAAGATATTCAATATTACCCAAAAAAAAAAAAAAGACCTCAGAAACGTAATCAAGCCTCATCATTAAACCAAAATTACCGATATTCCCATCTAATTTCAACCGAATTTCGTTCTAAAATCATTAAGCGAATTTGATAGAGCAAAAATTAGGTCAATTCGTAATTATCTATCGCATAGGGAACAAAAATAATAAAAAAAGAACCCTAGAAAAAAACAAAAGGAATCCACATACATAAACGGATAGAGAGAAAAATTATGGTTTAGTGGAGGGACTAACATCTCTGGGGACCAGGGCCGCCGTCAGCGCCGAGAGACTCGAAGTCTCGGGAGGCTAGACGGGAGTGACGGTCGGCGTCGTCATCGCGGAAGCCACGGCCCTTGGTCTTCTTAGGACCAGAAAGAGAGGTGGAAGCGCCGCCAGTGATGGCGGATTTGAGCTTAGGCATTGGGGCTTGAGGGGAGGTGTCGCCGGCGGCGTCCTCATCCATAAGGTCGTCGTCCTCCGGCTCGTAATCCACGGCCTCCTCAGCGCTCGCCATCACGTGATCCCCAAAATGCTTTTCTTCTCCTTATATAAACTTTTAAAATATGTAGATTTCTTAATTTCTGACTCAAAATTCCGGAGTGTGTTGTCGAAACGTTTAAGCTGACTAGGTTTTAATTCTTGCGTTGGACTATTTGCATCCAAAAAAAAAAAAAAAAACAAACTCTTAATACATCCAAAAAATAACTAATAAAACATTTATTTAAATATTAATTAGTTTTTTTTTTGTCCTTTACAGCTTTCGAACTGAATTTTTGAAAACTTTTTCACGAAAATTCATTCCAGAAAATTTATTAACTATATTAGAAATTTATTTCTAAAAAGTATTACAATTATTTTTAAATGTATTTTAAAAAAGCATTGCAATTATTTTTAAATATATTTTCAAAAGTAAATTTTTACTTCAATATTTTTATGATGATCTCTTGATCAATGTCTACTTCAATAACATTAGATATCTTTTGCTACAATCTTCAAATGAGTTTATAATGATTTACTCGAAATATGTGATATTTAAATCTAACTGTAAAAACTTTAAATTTTTTAATCAAGTATTATCTAGTTAATAACAATCGAAACATTTATTAATTCTAATAAAAATACATTTGAAAAGAATCATTATTTATAATGTGTGATGAAGCAATCACGTTTCATCACATTTGGTGCAGCAGTCAATTTGCACAAGCGACTTCTCACATTTAAAGATTTCTTTCATATGCACATTTGTCAAATTGAAAAATGTTATAAATATTAATAATCAGACAGTACCTAGTGGCCAAAAGATTATAGATTCTTATTGATGAATTTATCAGTCTACTGATAATATAATAAGGTCAATTCTTATGTACTAAAAAATTATTTGATCTTTATTGGTGTTAAAAGGTTATTGCGTATAAAAAATTCATGTCCAAAAATTTTTGAAAGATTTCAAAAACAAATGTTCGAAAACTATGAAAAAATTTCGAAAATACACTTTCGAAAATTCTTAAAAATTTTTAAAAATAGATATCAAAAAACTTTTAAAAAATTTCAGAAATAAATTTCAATTAAGTTAAAAAAAGTTTCAAACATTTATTTTCGAAAACTTTTAATGTATTTTAAAATTTTATTTTCAAAAAACTCGATTCATCACCTCAAAACCGTACCCCTAAACTTTAAATCTTAAATTTTTAAAAAATAAACATAAAATCAAACAAAAAAATGATTTACTTATGATTTTAAATTATCTAACATTAAAATCAAGATTGAAACTTAATTTAAGCTGAATCCTTAAAAGTTTAGAGTTTAAGAGAGGTAGAAGAGATGAAGCGTGGGATTTTTTATTTTTTAAAAAATTAATATTTTAATTTGAAGTGTAAAGAGAAAAAAAAAATTGTATTAATAATAATAGGACGTGAAGAGAGGAATTAAGGGTGTAAATAGTCCCTCTCTTAATTCTTTTCAACACCTCCTAATACTTTTCATACAAACTATTGGGCTAGAACTTGGTGCTTAGCTTATGGTCGGGGCCGAACGAGGCTCGATCGGGACTAACTTTTTCAGAGTTAAGCCTAGGCGGTCCTTAGATTTGGACTTTATTAAATATGTTAATATATTCCACAGAATCTCATCTAAATTTGTTTTAATTATTAATCATATAATTATTCAATCATAATAAAATAATTATATAAAGGCTTATCGCTTATGAGTGTCAATTTTATATAAAATTTTGATAAATTTAAAATAATTTAAAATTGTAATTGATTACTTATAGTGCAATAATTGTATGTTATATATTTCTAATGTTTTCTATCAAAAATTCATATTTTAATAGTTTAATATTTTAACATTTTAATTTTTTCCAAATTATATTTAGATAAAATACATAAAATCATTTTTTGATTGCATATCATGTTTTGAAATTTTGTTCAATGCAGTTATTTGAAATCATTTTTCCCTGCTTATCACCAAGTTAAATATTGATAATTGCAACTTTTAAACCTTTTGATCTAGTGATTAAAAAGCTTAAAAAAGATTTACAAAGCATAAATTCGATCCCAATCATCCCTATTCCTTAAATCCCTTGGATTAGAAATATGTATATTGATAATTGCACCAAATTTTGATAATTTGAAAAATATAGAGCTCCGTTTTGTAGAATTAACAAATTTAAGTGAAATTCAAAAAATTTGCTTTAATAGTTGAAATATGAAATAAATTCAATTTGATTTAATTAGAAAATATCAATAATTTAAACTCATTTCACTCAAATTTGATTTTATTTGTTTTAATTTTAAAATTTAATAATTTTAATTCGAAATGAATTAAATTAATTATTAAAATTCAAATAATGTAAGTGTCAAATTTAAATTTCGAAATAAAATAACTTGAATTTCTTTTAACCTTAGATGACATGATCCAAAATGATCTTACCAATTGAATTATTACCTTTACTTAATACTAATAACATATGCAGTATAAATTTTTTATTAGTGTGATTTGATGGTGATGAATTTCTTTTTGTTTTTTGATGTAAGGGAGGACGTCTTTTTAAAAACGAAAAGATTTTAAATTTTAAAATTAAACTTAGTCCCGCTTTACTATATTCTTAAAGATGGAGACATGATCAAATGATTTGATGCTCAATGTATGATGTGAATTTCCTAGATTAAGAAAAGTAAATACTTTATTCAAAGCATTTGTTCATTTACGAAAGATCAGAAGGGCAATATTGATCTAAACTCGAAGACAAGTTAAATTCTACAATTATTCTTTATGATTGTTTTAATAAGAAAAAACTTACAAACATCTTTAGCTCTGCACAATTTAATTGATCCAAAAGAATGCCACGTGGTTCCTGGTGATTGGCAATGGATTCCATTGTCAGAATGCATTGCTCCGTTGATTCAGCCCTGAATATCTCAAGTCACATTGGATTGAAAAGGAAAAACTTGACAGACAAAGCTGGAAAACAGCATAAGATAATGGCATAATGCAAAGTATTATTAGTAAAAATTTCAGCCAACATTTATTGCGGATTTCTATCTTTTTCTTGGAGTACTGCTTACCAATGCAAGACAGAGTCTATATAAGCTAGCAGATTTCGAGCATAATAAGCCTAATAGAAGCTACTACTAACCAGAACAACTCTAAACTCGGGACCAAAGGATAACTAAAAACCAGAGGTCAATTTTCCTCATCCCCTAGTATGGCCAGAAGAAAGGCCTTGTAGTCTCCGGGAATGTCTCTAGCAACTGCTTCATCAAGAGAATCATTGTTTCTCTTTAAGTACAGCTTCTTTATCTCCTTCAAGTCCTTCTCTGCACGAGTGATGATCACACGACTCAAAGCATCCTCATCTGTGCCTGGCATATTCATGGCAGTTCTCAACACCTACATGACGAAGACAGTGAATTCCGAGTGACTTTTTTTGTTTGATGTTTGAAGCTAAAACAACTGTATGCTGATACCTTTGATGAGGAAGTTTTTTTTGGTACCTTTGCAAAATATTTTTTAGGGTCTCTAATGCAGCGGATCACAGTACCCAATGTAGAAAAATAATCATCACTTGGACAATCCGACAAGCCCTTCAAAACATGGCAAAAATACAAGTTCAATGCATAAATAGGAAACATACAAAATTAGAGTTAAGAACAATTCAAGCACGTCGAATTATATCACCGGTTTTATCCTTGAAAATCTTCAGATTAGGCTTTTCTACCCTTATGATGGAACGACCATGGATGTCTTTGTAGAGGTTGAATGTTGCATTCAGTTGCGCTTTGCTCCCAGTACTCAAGATTCTGATCACTTCCTCATGGTTAAAAGCCTTTCCATGGATTCTTCATGGAGGAAGCTTGCTTCAGAATGTGCCAATGTCTCATCAAACTCATCACCATCAAAACTATAAGCACTTGTCAGAGCAACCAGAAGCTGCTATGACAGCTCACAAAATCAAATTACCAGTACTCAAACAGAAGAAAACCCTGATCTGCTCAAGATAAAGGAAACACTGCCTTGAGAGCATACTTTTCGGATATCACCAGTGGTGAAAGAAGCCAGGTCTTCTTCAAGGGAACGCTCGTAGCGAAATTTATAAGGACTTTTCACTGCCAGGAGATCTCCAGGGGATCTGACATATGCTATTTCAACAATTACTCTATAATCAGGAATAGTCTTCTGCAAGGCTTCATTAGCTAAGAAAGCATCTCGGTCAGCAGGATCGAGAATCCATAGACTTACTGCTCCTTATATTGCACGACAATTTAAAGAAAAAAAAAAGAATTTGTTTTTGTTAGCACTTTCATCAATGAGAAAATAGATATGGAAACGATGATTTTCCGCAATGAAACATAAACCTCAAAGTCTCCAGACGGCTCGCATTTAAGCTGCTGAAGGAGATCTTCATGATAAATCTCTTCAAAAGCTAGTCTAACAAGCTTCCTCTGAAATAGATTTCGATGTCCTAGTATAGAAACTATGGCATTCTCATCCGTTCCCCATCCTGAAAAATTTGTCCCAGATAAAGAGAGATCAAAACGAAGGCAAACATAATTATGTCTTGAAAAAAAAAATTAGATTTCAAACCTTGACAAGCCGCCTTGATTTTTTCAGCATCTTCAAAAGAAGAAAATTGCTTTGGTGAAATAATTGTAGCCATTTTTGCTTCTCTCTGGCTGCTGTAATCTCACTGCTTCTATTCATTTCATAGTGACCAAGCAAGTTAATGTCACTATTTCAGAAATAAATATGGAGAAATGAAGTGTTCTGAGCAAATGGGATTTCATAACAGTATTATTTACTAGTTTCATTACTAATATTTCTTGTCCTTTGAAAATTGGAATGGTTGAAATTTGGAATGTTCCAAAGGAGGTACATTTGCCAATACAATTGTAACAGCAATTCTTGGAAAAGGAGTTACCAGGTTGAGAATTCAATGGAAGTTCTTTGTTTGAGACAATAAATATTGGAGCATTTGTTAAATTAATCAAAGATTGAGAAGGATTAATTCAACAAATTTGTTGTTTGATCATAAACTAAGCCTTGAATCATACTTAGTTAACTACTATATCGCTTTGTTGAATTGAACTGAACACAAAAAATTGAGAACGATAATAAACAGGTATCTAAGCTCTAGCCCAGATGTCACCTTCT